TAATTGTTCCTTGACTAGATCGGCGAAACACTTTCATTCACTAATGTGCATTTTTCGCATTGCATTATAATACCTTTATAATTTAAATTATATTCTAAAGATACCATCGAGAAACCCTTTTCCCTGTGCTCACATATTAGAAAGTCGTTTAAATTTCATACTCAAAGGAAAATTATAATAAGATACAAAGAAGTTGTCAATTCCCAAATAACTCTGGGGCCGATATGGCGTTGCATGTCTGTTTTGGGTTAACAAAATAAAAGCTGTTTTGCGCAAAAACGCGTGCATTCCTCTAAATTATCAACTGGGTACTACGGAGGGCTTACAAAAGTGCTCAATGGATTGAATTAGATTACTTCTCTCGTGATTAGCATTACTAACGTGACGCATACGATAATGTCGGAGTGGGTCTTAAAAAATGTCATCATTTGAAAGCTTTCTGTAAGTGGCATATAGCATTTGGTAAAATATAAACTCGAAAGACCGAGAACGCACAATAAAAATGCAATGGCAGATTTGGCTGAAAGATATTTGAAAAGTTATCATTTTTTAACCTTACGATTACTTTCCTTCGAATATGCAATTTAAACAAGTTATTTTTTACTAAATAAGTGCAAGAGAACGTTTTCTCTTGTGAAGTACATGAAATATGGTTGTATTTGTTAAGGGCATCAAAAATTAATTTAAAAATGTTCACTAGCTAGCAGTTGAAAAGAAGTACATGAAAATATTGGCGCCATGATGCGTCTGAAATAACATGGAACTATGACATAAGATGACGGATATTATAATCCAACTTAAGCAATCTTTTTCAATAGGAAGCGCATTTCACAGCTTCGGTTAAAATTTAATGAGATTTGTTTCTGAGTAGATTGGCATACGCATTTATCTCTAAACGTCGACTTGAAAATTGGTTTCATTTCGGGCAGCGGCACTGTACTTACGAAAAATGATCTAATAGAAACGAAGTATTACTAAAATATGTAACTCTTAAGTTTTAATTTAACTAAACTTTCTTCATTATTACTTTGATTTTTCGTGGAAGCATGCTGATTGCTATTCGAGTGATTAAAACTCTTTCGCTGATAAGAGCATTTTGTGATTTAGATCGACTGGTAAACAATACAAATGTCTATTAAAACAGCCTACAAAAATTCGTCAGGGTTATTAAAGCTCGTAATCATACATTTACTGAGAAAGTTCTTAAGCTCACGCCACGTTCCTGAAGAACGGAGAGCTGACTGAAAAGTACTCGAAGTCGAGGATTCTAGGACCACCGTATGTCGGGCTTGGCTGGGTCATTTATGGGGCTGTCACAATAACCAAAAATTGGCAGTTTTTTTTAGTCTTCCTGTGAGACGATGGAGAATTTGTGCTGTCAGGATGAAAAACCTTTAATATGCAGTAGCGCGTTCGCAGACGTTTCAAGTATCAGCATATGCACTAGTCTTCTATTAGTTGTCGAATGCATTAACATATTACAAAAGTTTCCTTTAAGCCTTAAGAAAGTATATTACATGGAGAAAAACCTACGCCACTACGAACAGCTAACAGAACTTACTCTCAATAACAGTACTGTAGGCGAATTCCTGCCGTGGTGTATGTATATAATCCTCAGTGCCATGTGAAACCTCGGGGTTGGAGAGGGCAAGTTCTTTTCTGCGGAAAGAGAGGAAGGGTTACTGTCGAGTTACCACTAACACACTCTTATTTTTGGAGATGCCTAAAAAGTAAAATAAGTGTATTCATCTTCTACCTTGTGAGAACCAGTCCACATGCAGTGGCGGGCCCTTTTTGGTACATTCCGTAATGTGTTTTGATTGTAAGGAATTACTTGTATGGAATCATAATAATGATTACCGAACAGCAATGCACTTAATGTAAATTTATAAGTGAAGAAAGTGTAGTTTTCGGTTTAAAAAACCTAACATTGTAAGATATTTTAAGGAAATGCAGTCAGTACTTGACTGCACCGTCTGTGTCTGTTTACAGATTATGATTATAAAAAATGCAGCATGATTGGCATCCATTACGAAATGTTCTTATTCCTGTATGACATCTTAGTAGCGCGTAAAATTGTATGATTCTCCTTAAATGCAGTTTAGAAAACTTGAGGACGATTGTAAGGGTAGGTCGGGCCTCAACTTTTTGCGAATTAAACTGTTTTTAGTCAAAATAACACCCTCTCTTCGCGTATGCATTTGAATAGAACTGACGTTTGTTAGCAATATGTTAGCTCTGAATCGAAAATTTATTTACCAATCAGATTAAGCAATAACTCCCCGAGAAAACCAGTACCAATTTTGCCTTACCTCCTTGATCCACGAGATAGCCGAGTTTTCCCTGTTTACGAACCGCAAAATTACATAATACGATCTGCTTATCATTCACGACAATTGTGCCTAGATTTTCATTGTACACTTTAGAGACGACCTCTTCTTTGCGAAAAACGTTTTCTCCTGAATTCTCACCAATACAGTAGTCACCGGTTATTAAGCCCACGGTTAATAGGCCCAGCCGCTTATTAAGCCCAAATTAGCATGGGACGGAATTTTACATAGCAAAATCCGCCGGCTAATAAGCCCAGTC